TGTACATGATACAACTCCAGTTCTACAATATAGCCAACATATGCAATATCATACTCAACTCCCATATCAGGGTAAGTTCTACAACATACTTTCATTAAACCAAAACATTAACAATGTTTTACACTTAAGACATATTTAAAGCTCTTAAGTCCAACAATATTACAAAATTTCATTACAAAATTACTCCTTAATAAACAAGTCCGGATATTTCTCGCGGACTTCCAACTCACGTTCCTAAGTGGCCTCCTCCACTCCGTGATGTTTCCACAAAACTTTTACCAAAGGAATGGTCTTGTCACGCAGGACTTGATCCCGCCTATCCAAGACCCGAACCGGTCTTTCCTCATACGAGACATCCTCATCTACCTCTAAGTCGGTCCAATCTAACACATGCGATGGATCCGGCTCATACTTCCGAAGCATACTCACATGAAACACGTCATGCACTCCGGACAACTGCGGCGGTAAGGCTAAACGATAGGCAACCTCCCCAATCCTCTCAAGGATCTCAAAGGGACCAATAAACCGAGGGGATAACTTCCCACTCTTCCCAAACCTCATCAAACCTCGCCTAGGTGATATTTTCAAGAAAACATGATCACCTACCTCAAACGCCAAAGGCCTCCTTCTACGGTCAGCATAAGATTTCTGACGACTCTGGGCTGTAACAAGCCTCCTACGGATAAGCTCAACTTTCTCCGTCGTCTCCCTAACCAACTCCGGACCCAACAAAGGTGCATCACCCACCTCGGCCCAACAAACTGGAGACCTACACGGTCGGCCATACAAGGCATCAAACGGTGCCATACCGATGCTAGACTGAAAACTGTTATTATAGGCAAACTCCACCAAGGGCAAGTCCCTCTCCCACGTCCCACTAAAGCCAAGGACACAACCTCGAAGCATATCCTCAAGGATCTGAATAGTACGCTCACAAAACCCTCTTTAACACATTTTGAAACTCTGAGTCCTAAAATTTCCCAAATTCAACACTTTATCAGAACAACTAAAAATCTAGGTTAAAGACCATAAGAGTGAGTAGGAATCCCTACCTCAAAGATGACTCCCAACTAAGAAGGTGAAGAAGACGAAAATGCTCCAACCCACGAATTTCTCGGATCAAAAGATAGCCCTTGACGATCTTACAGTATACAAATTCATTTGGGTCTAAGTAGTCTCTAGTTAGCGGGCCCACGTTTGGGATCCACTTTTATAATCTAAATCGTTCACATTTTAAGATTTGTCGAACACGTAGTTGCCATAATCTGATCGACTTGATTATTTACATGAATAATGTGTTTGGCAAACTCAAAAATATAAACGGTTTAAATAATTGAAGTGAAGCACAAAGGTAATCCCATTTGTGATAAAATATAAATTACAAATAAATAAATTAACATTTGCAAGCTAGAAAAGAATGGTTCCAAATAAACAATTAGGGCACATTTGGTATTGTTTTCATTTTATATTCTAGAAAATAGAAAAAACAGAAACTGACACAAAAAAACTTGTTTGGCACATTATTTTTGAAAAAAATTCTACATACACCCCTTTTTTAGGAATTACTTTTACAATGTATTGTAAGTCTTTGAAAACAAGGCCGCAGCCTCGACAGATTCGCCCAGTAGCAAATCAAACTCGCCAGGTGCTCCCAACATCTCCCATTCCCGGATGGCTATACAAGCTACATCACTAATGGATTTCCTACTAAGGGCATCGGCCACAACATTGGCCTTTCCCGGGTGATAATGCAACTCAAAGTCGTAGTCCTCAATGAACTGCATCCATCTCTTCTGCCTCAAATTCAAGTCTCTCTCTGTAAACAGATACTTCAAACTCTTGTGGTCCGAGAACACCTCGAACTTCTCACTATAAAGGTAGTGCCTCCAAATCTTCATGTCAAAGATCACTGCTGCTAACTCTAGGTCGTGTGTGGGGTAATTCTTCTCGTGAATTTTCAACTGACGTGAGCCATAAGCTACCACGCTCCCCTCTTGCATCAACACACAACCCAAACCCTCTCGTGAGGCATCATAATAAATCGCATAACCCAACCCTCTCTCCGGAATAATCAAGACCGGAACGGTGGTCAATCTAACCTTCAGCTCTTGGAACGACTTTTCACAAGTCTCACTCCACACAAACTTGACCCCTTTCCGCGTCAATCTAGTCAACGGTGACGCTAACCTGGAGAAATCCTTCACAAACCGACGGTAATACCCAGCTAATCCCAGAAAACTGCGGATCTCGAACACACTCTTAGGCTGTGCCCAATCTTGCACTGCTTCTACCTTGGATGTATTAACAGACACCCCTTCCCCGGATACCACGTGGCCTAAGAATTTCACCTCTCCTAGCCAGAACTCACACTTCCCAAACTTGGCATACAGCCTATGGGCTCGAAGCAACTCAAGCACCACTCACAAGTGTTCTTCGTGCTCCTCCTCAGAAGGTGAATAGATAAGGATGTCGTCTACGAAAACGACTACAAATCGATCCAAGAAATCCCGGAAGATCCGGTTCATCTAGTCTATAAAGACTGCCGGTGCATTGGTAAGCCCAAATGGCATCACCAGAAACTCATAATGGCCATACCGCGTACGGAATGCCGTCTTAGGAACATCCTCCTCCCTGACTCTCAACTGGTGGTAACCCGATCTCAAGTCTATCTTAGAGAAACAACGGGAACCCTTCAACTGGTCAAACAGATCATCTATACGGGGCATAGGGTACTTATTCTTGACCGTAGCCCGATTCAACTTCCGGTAGTCTATACACAATCTCAAGGCACCATCTTTCTTTTCAGCAAAGAGGGCCGGTGCTCCCCACGGCAAAACACTAGGGCGAACAAAGCACTTATCGAGCAATTCCTGGAGCTAAACTTTCAACTCAACCAACTCTGCTGGAGCAAAACGATAAGGTGCCATAGAAATCGGCGCTGTGCCGGGCACTAAATCAATACAGGACTCTATCCATTAAGCCCTTGGCTTGGAATTACATGTAATACATCAAATGGAAATAAGACAACAAAAGTCTGTCCGCCTCTAGCCTCCCAGCTATGTCCTTGGAGGTACTCTCAAAGCTAGCAAGTAGGCTACTAAGCTCACTTCGCTTTCGCGATGCCTACCCCGGTGGCAAAACGCTACCAACCCGGTCTCCCAAGAAATGGAACCACTCCCCGCTCAAGGTACATAACGTGACCCTCTGACGGTAGCAATCGATAACAGCCCGGTATGACGATAGCCAGTCCATACCCAAAATAACATCAAAGCCCTTCATGGGAATGATAACAAACGGAAAAGGAATCCTATGGTCGGCGACCTCTATATCACAACCCCTAACACCTTGTTTCAAGATCAACTCACCACCCAAAGGCGATACCACACAAATAGGAGATGCTAACTGTGCCAACTCCAATTCTAAAACAGATGCAAATGCAGCAGATACAAAAGAATGAGATGCACCCGTGTCAATCAACACACTAGCAACCGAGTTGCAAAACAGAAAAGTACCTCTCACTACTGATGGAGCCGGTACTAAATCCTGCGCGGTAACAGCATACACGCGCCCTGTGGGCCCCTGATCCCCCTGCTCACCTCTAGGAGCATACGACTGCTGTACTGACTGGGACGACGAAGCCCCTGGATTGGCCCTCGAGGCTTGCACAGACTGAGCTGGCTGAAAACTCTGCGTCTGCCAGGAACCAGACGCTCCCGAAGTGGCACTCAACTGCGGGCAAAACCTCTTCAGGTGCCCGGGTTGACCACACTGATAGCAAGACAAGGACTGGCCTCTGCCCTGACTCTGGCCCTGAGGTATAGCTGATGAAGAAGCAGCTCGCTGACCCCCTCCCTTCTGCGGGCAAACCGAAACTTTGTGACCCAGCTGGCCACACTTGTAACAGGTGAAGTCAGGCCTCCCTGACTACCTCTCCCTGAGCCTGCACTCGGTACCGGAAAGGTCGATCTAGCAACTCCACCCTGAGACTGCTGAGGGTTATAACCCCTCTGTCTCCTGCCATCACCCTGACCCTCCTGGCCCTGCTTGGAGCCTCTATGTTTCTCCTCGTCCTCCTCCTGCATCATGAGCTCCATATGAGCTGCAGCATCCACTAAGTGTCTATACTCTCGGATGTAAGACCCACCAACCCTCAACTTGAGGCCCCGCCTCAACTTCCGCTCAAACTCATAGCAACGGCGTTCTTCGGACGCCACTAACTCAGGTGCAAACTTGGACAAACTAGTGAAAGTGGCCTCGAACTCTGCCACAGACATACCCTGCTGATTAAGCCGGCTAAACTGATCCCTCAGCTTCTCCCTAGCCACTGCAGATAAGAACCTCTCCTGGAAAGCATTTACAAACGCCTCCATGTACCACCAACACGAGCCTTCTTGTACTTCCACCATTGACCCGCATCTCCCTTCAGCTGGAAGGATGCCAAGGTCACTTTCAATGCTCCGTCCTCGATGCCAAGCATCTCGAACGTCTTCTCCATTTGTTCCAACCACTCGTCTCCTTTGGATCCCAACAAACTCATCCGGTTAGACCGGAAGAACTCCCTCTTCAAGAAAGAAGGCCCTGCCTCAGCTGCCTGATTCCGCTCCTGAGAATACCAAAGCCCCTGCTATCTCTCGTGCCACATAGCCTGCTGACCCGCTGGCTCGGCCATATTGGCCTGACCAACACCCTCCTGCACTGCCGGAATATCATCCGGTAAAGGTACTTCCTACCTCACAGGCCTACCACGCCTAGCACCTCTTCCTCGTCCTGACATCCTAATAAAGGTAATGCAGAACATTAGCACATTCACAATGTGCCAAAACTAAACACTCACGTCCTAATGCATGGATAACAGTAATTCACTCCACGTAAGCACATAAACACATAAGCACTTACGAATTTCATTTCCGGATAATGATAGTCCCGAGGCGTTACTAGAGTTCCGGTTAGAAACAGCATTGATCAAGTGCCTTTCCAACAAGACTCCCAGAAACAATCACCTCTACCAAGTTCATCAGAAAATCCATATGCAATATATGTTTTGGGTCCCAAGTCAGGTTTCAGCATTTCATGATGAAGCTTTGTAGCAATGTTCAGAAGACCTGATTTTGGATCAGTATAGTCACTATAGGGCAGTGCTGCAATAAATTCGGCACCATGCCTGGGTAAGCGCTCTTCAAATAAAGCTGAGGGGGGCCAGTCCTTCAGCTTCAACATCTCTGGCCACCCACTCTTATGCATACGACCCTCCAAGTATCCCTTGAAGAATTGGTGAATATTAATCTCAACCTATACAACAATAAGAAATAAAAAAAATTAAGAAACTTGGAGTCTATTGCCTGAAGATTGAACATAATTCCCAACAAGAAGCACTCTGAACTTACAACAGTGAAAAACATTAAGAGGAATAGAGTGGGGAAAAGACTATATATATAAGTTGCAGCTACAGAAAACATCGTTACAATAGTTTTGTGATATGGTGTGTATTTCCCTTCAATACTTCACTTTGAAAGTCAGCTTACTGGCTAAGAAAATGAAGATATATGTCAACTACTATTCATGATGAAACAAAAAAGGATTTACAGCTGTGGCACAAGGTATAAAAGATTCCTTATTTTTTGGTAGTAAATTAAAAAAATAATAATAACAATATTGCCCCTGGCCCTCTGACAGGACAATGTTTGGGCTTTATACATGTGCCTGTATCCATGTATTAGAACAATCACAATATGGCCATTCAGACTCCTTTACATAAGGAAGTGGTAAACCCATTTGCAAGCCATTAAATATGATATCAGTTGTGAGATTGACAATCGAGGATTCAATGAGGAAGTGGACCATCCAAACAATATTTTCAAAAAATATAAAATAAAATGGCTGACCTCACACCAATCCAAGCAATCAAGGGCCTTTACGCTTGTTGTCTCCTCTTTGAACTTTCCCTTGGCACCTTTTTCTCTAAGAGCTCTCCACATAACCATTGGTTCCCAACTGAGGCCAGACGTCCTGTCAAGAACATTTCTAACAATCACAGGCTCACCTTTCCTCCAGTGTTGCTGGAAATGCTCAATGTCATGATCTTCCATGTTGACAGCATTTGGACAATGCAACAATGGATATATAATCAACATTCCAACTTGGTGAGCGATAAATAATCCAACTACACCCTTTAACCCCTTCCCTTTCCAATTTCCACATTCTCAATTCAATTCCTCATTTCCAACAATTAATTATACAAATTAATCAATCAATGTAATTAGGGCATTTTCCATAATTAACATTACAACCCTTAGGTTCCATTTTCATTAATGTTTTATCATTAATTTCACTTTTTTCATGCCAAACATGCATCTAGGCTTTATTTAGTTAAAACCCCAACCTTTGTAAATTTACACAAAAGCCCCAAATTTTCACCAAATTACCAAACCAACCCCAACATCTCAAAATACTAAAATTTAAAGACAAAGCTCATAGAAAGGAGTAGGATATCCCTACCTCATAGTTTGAGCTCCAATGGATATGAAGACCAAAACCAAAATGCTCCAAATTCCAAAATTTTCAGATTAAAATGTAGCCCTCGACGTCAACACAACTTTCGTAAAGGCCAAAAGTGAGCAAACAACTCCTACTAGATCAAATCTAAGAGAGAAGGGCCGGTTTTAGAGTGAGAGGCTCTGAAAATGGCTTTTTGGAAAAGTAAGAGAGAGAAAAGATCTTAAAAAAGTGATCCAAAAGTCGGATCTCGGATTTATATAAAAGTCGCCCTGCTCGAGCGTCAAACTCCCCGCTCGAGCGGCACTCACAGACTCCCGCTCGAGCGGCCAATCCCCCGCTCGAGCTCCGGATGCACACTCCCAGCACTACTGCAGACAGGTCTCCCGCTTGAGCGTCCAACTCCCCGCTCGAGCGTCACTCACTCAACCCCGCTCGAGCCCCCAATCCCACGCTCGAGCGTCCAACACTACACAGGAAATACTGGATGGGTGAAATTCCCGCTCGAGCGCCAAAACCCCCGCTCGAGTGGACAGGTCAAAATCTGGTAACTAGTTTTGGTTTCTAATCTCAACCAACCTGTAACAAACCTCTCCAACACATCCTATAACTCAAATACAAAGTAAGAAAGGATGTACACCAGGTAATAATCAACTACTATCATCCACGGACACATGTCCGGATCACTGTACAACAAGGGTAAACACGGGATCGCTATACCACTATTCTTTAACGATCTATTTGGAAATTAAATAAAAAAGGAAGTTAAACAGAAAAATAACTTGAATAAAATTCGAAGTAGAATAAAAATAAAAACTGAAGTTGCAGAAAATTAAAAATGGAAGTTCATTCAAGAAACCACTATACCTTAACGATCTATTTGGAAATTAAATAAAAAAGGATGTTTAATAGAAAACTAAATGGAATAAAAATTAAAGTTGCATAAAATTAAAAGTGGAAGTTCGATCCAGAAACCACTATACCTTAACGATGTATTTGGAAATTAAATAAAAAAGGAAGTTGAATAGAAAAGAAACTTGAATAAAAAAAGAAGTTGAATAAAAATAAAAATGGAAGTTGCAGAAAATTAAAATTGGATGTTCATTCAAAAAACCACTCTACTTTAACGATCTATTTGGAAATTAAATAAAAAAGGAAGTTGAATAGAAAAATAATTTGAATAAAAATGGAAGGCGAATAAAAATAAAAATGTAAGTTGCAGAAAATTAAAAATGGAAGTTCATTCAAGAATCCACTATACCTTAACGATCTATTTGGAAACTAAATAAAAAAGAAGTTTAATAGAAAAGCAACTTGAATAAAAATGGAAGTTGAATAAAAAGAAAAATGAAAGTTGCATAAAATTAAAAATTGAAGTTCCATCCCCTAGCTCCTCCCAACAACATCCGATTTAGAGGTCCATCCCCTATCTTCCCCTAAACCGTGGAGTACATCCCCTATCTCACTGGATGGGTGAAAATGTATGCAAATGCAATGATCAATCAATACACGTATTTTAT